TCTATGAAACCAATTTATATTTACTCACACTTTCTCATGAATGATAGATCACAACTATAGCCCAGGATGAAGGAGAGAAATGGAGTGGGAAGGGAGTGGGGGGAGGTTTCATAGAGGGAGAGTAAATGGTGGGACCACACCTATGGAGCATATTGCAAGAGTACAAATCAAATCTATCAAGTATAGAATATAAATGTCGAAATACAATTATCAAGTAAATGAGGTGAAAGCTATATTAATTGGTTTGATGTAAGCACTACAAATTATATAAAAAAATCAATACATTGTACCCCACATATGCATAAATGTATTCATGATCTATGTGTATATGACTTAATAAAAAAAAGTGAAGAATGAAAAAAAAAAACTAGCTTGTGCAATTGTAAGGCTACAAGTTCAAAATTTGCAGAGTGCACCAGCAGACTGGAGACCCCAGGAGAATACTTAAGAATTGAAGTCAGAAGGGCCCTGACAGAAGGTGCCTCCCTGCTCTGGGTGGGGGCCTTCAACTGACTGGATGACATTCACTCACGTTATGGAAGGCAATTTGCTTCACCCCAAATCCACCAATTTATATGTTTATCCCATCCAAAACCACTCTCACAGAAGCATCCAGAATGCTATTTGAGCCTTTATCTGGGCATCATGGCCTGCCGTGTTGAATTGACACATAAAATTACATTAACAGACCAAGTTCAAGTAACCAGCCCCAGGCCCCTCTTCTAGTGCTGTGGATTCATTCTGCTAACTTTGTACTACTCACTTCTCTGGCATGCTGCCCACCATCCACTAAATGTGTACCTGGGCAATGTCATCTTTTAAAAATACTTTAAAAGATTTCTTTTTTAAAAAATAATTATTTTATTAAGTCAAATACACATAGATCATGAATACATTCATGCATATGTGGGGTACAATGTGCTGATTTTTTTTTTAATACAACCTGACATAATTGGACTGGTTCAGATGAGCATTAATGTCCACATTCAGGTTTTGTGTCAGCATTTCACTCCCTTATGGAATTGTGAAGCACAGAGTGTAGGGTGGGGCTGGCACAGGGTTTGAAGTCATTTGGAACCAGGAAAGAATATCACAGCTCCCTTCCCATACAAAGACAACAACCTTCATTCACTGTTGATACCGTGAAGTTGAGTTATTTTTTCAGTGATATCAATGCATTCCCACTGATTCACCCTTATTTGTTTCTGAGTCTTTTGAACAAGAACATTTAATACTATGATAATTATCTGGGATTAAGGGATAGTCCCTGGTCATGGAACAAAAACCTATCTAGCCTACCCTGAGTTCAGTCTGTGCTTTTCCTATTATTTTTCCTAAGCTATAATATGTTAATCTGATTTTTCAGGGAAGATTACAAATGAGAAGTAAATAAAGAATCTGAGTTAAATAGGAGGTGGTGTACTCCGGAGGCAGTCTACACAAGGTGTTGTGGACAGTATGAGGGCCAGCCTGTCTTTAGAGTAGTTTCATGAAAAGCCAGAAGTAACATTTCTGCTTTTGCCCTAGAAATAGTTCACTGCCTTCAGAGGCAGCAGAAGAGAGGGAGCAGCTGTGGCAGCTGTTGGCACTAGTGGCCACCTAGATGTGGCTCCAGGCTAGCTCACAGTTGCCTATCAGACTCTGGTAAAAATAAAAGAGCTGTGAATGTCTGTGACATAGTCATGAACTTGCACTGGGCCCTGCATATGGGGCGAAGAGCCAGGCTGTGTAGCTGCTTTGACCACAGCTTCAAGAAGAATCCTGACCAGATGGGAAGACCATTTGGGACTTGGTCCTAGCAAGATAACTGGTAATTTTGGCAAGTGGGAGCCATCAAAGTTGGTCAAAAAGGTTTAAAGCTCCTCAGTGATCTGTTTCATACTATTCTTTGTTGGCTGTTATGAAAAGAAAAGCTTTGCATGGTAAAGAGTTTCCCCCTTAAACCTAGAGGTAACTCTGAGCACACCCACCTGGCGCCCTGGAAATTGATTCTCCAGTGTCAGTAGTGGTCTTTTTCAGGGACACACCACTTGTGCCAGCTCATCCAGGAGAGGCTCCCTCGGAGGTGAGGCACCTGCTCACACAGCGCCAAGCACACTTTTAGGGCATAGAAGTGATCCTCTGAGGGCCCCTGTGCTGTAGAGCTGTAAGAATAAAATTCCATGGGCTGTGCTGTGGTAGCTGTCACCAGGCGCGGTGTCTGGGCTTCTTGCGAGCAGATGGTCAGACTGCCAGCAGCTCTCCCCACCCTGAACAATGGTTACCGGGGTGGGTAAGACATGATTCTCTATGGGACATCTAACTGGAAGGTTTTCAGATCAATTAGTATCCAGGCTCCAAATAATGCCAAGGTCCCTCAAAGGTAGCTGGAGAATTCCTATGATAATAACTATGCAGAGACGTCCCTGGGAGGCCCAGGATTTAGCAGAGTCCACTCTGTTAGGGCAGTGGCCAGGTTGCTTGGTCAGGGAGGTGCTCGTCAGTACTTTCTTGTGCTGTGCTGTGGCCCTTGTTGATCTATGCAGCACATGCTGAGTGCTCAGTGGCTGTGCAGAGTCCCAGGACTTCGGGGCTGTGCAATGTCATCCATAGCTCAGGCCCCTAACATTTACTTTAAGGCTAAGGACAGATCAGGGTGATCTGAGAAACTGCTGTTTCGCTGTGTTTTTTCCTTTTGGGCTCCGAGCCTACCTGTCTTAGACTTTCTCCACTAACACTGACGTGGCCCTAGCCTGGAGGCCTCCAGCACCCCACAGATGTCAGTGCTGGCCCTGGCTTTCTGACCACTGTTGCCATCCATTTCCACAGAATTTTAAGACATATGATATTCAGTGATTCGATTATTTAAGAAAAATACATTTGGTTCCTATTCTCTGCTTATACCTATTGATAAAGAGAGTTTCAGCTTGATAATTATGATATTTCTGATTTCCTATTTTCTACCAACAACACAATTCAGCCACAGGAGAATTAATTCCCTTTTATAACTCACTGAATGCCTTTTCCTAGAACTCTCTGCTGCTGCTATCCACATCCCACCATTGCCAAGGACCTCTGAGGCTCTGGTAGCATTTTTAAAGCAGGTTTTATTTTTTAGAACAATTTTAGATTCAGAGAAAAGTTAAGTGGAAAGTGCACAGTTCCCATATATCCCCTTACTGCCCACCATACACGCACAGCCCTCCCCACAATTGGCACCCAGAACTAGGGGTACATGTGTCATAGCCAGTGAGCATGCAGGGCACACACTTTCACCCTCAGTTAATGGGTGACATGTGGTCACTCTTGGTGTTGCTCACCCTCCAGTGTATCACGACACTCCTTCACGGTCACAGTGCAGCACAGGGGCTTTATCTCCCTAAATTCTCATCTGTAGGCTCACCCTGGCTTCCCTGCACCCCCACCAGCCCTGACAACAAATGAGGCTCTTCAGACTGACTGAGTTCACTCAGTAATGTGCATTTAAGGTTCCACTGTGTCTTTTAATGGTAAATGCACCTATAAACTACCAAATTCTTGTGTCCTTGTTTTGTGACTACTAAGGAAGTTGCCATCACCTTCCCTCTAAATTTCACAACAAAAATACATTTTTGATTAACAGTTACTATAAATAAATATAATTAATTAATCAGACTTTTTCTAAGTAGATCTTTAGAGTTAGGGAATGTGTATATGTGTACATGCTAAAAAATAACCAAAATATTAAAGAAGTTTTGCAACTTAAGAAAATTTTGAAGGTCTCTGGCTTGATTTACTGCCAGATTTTATTTCCTGCATTACTTTATTTTATGAGTGTCTTTCAGATGGGCTTAGAAGTAGCAAATTTATTTCTTATGGAGGAAAAAGTTTTTAGAGGTTGGGAATGGTGGCTCACACCTGTAATCCCAGCATTCTGGGAGGCGGAGATGGGTGGATTGCTTGAGCTCAGGAGTTTGAGACCAGTCTAAGTAAGAGCAAGACCCTGTCTCTAAAAATAGCTGGGCATTGTGGCAGGTGCCTACAGTCTTAAATACTCCAGAAGCTTAGGCAAAAGAATTGCTTGAGCTCAAGAGTTTGAGGTTGCTGTGAGCTATGATGCTGTGGCACTCTACTGAGGGTGACAAAGTAAGACTCTTTCTCTCAAAAAAAAAAAGCTTTTTAGAAAATGAGGAATAGGGCTGGGTATGGTGGCTCATGCCTATAATTCTAGCACTTTGGGAGTCCAAGGTGGGTGCCATCTCTAAAAAAATAGCTGGGCATTGTGGTGAGCACCTGTAGTCCCAGGTACTTGGGAGACTGAGGCAAGAGAATATCTTGAGACGAAGAGTTTGAGGTTGCTGTGAGCTATGATGCAATGGCACTCTACCAAGGGTAGCAAAGTGAGACTCTGCTCAAGAAAAAAAAAATTATGAACTCCAGAAGAACAATAAGTAGTCAGTTAAGGGCTTCCTGAGATTTCAGAATGACTTAAACAGGGACATCCTGACAAAGGTACTCTGACTTATGGATTCTCTTCAAAAATTTGTGTTGCATCTCATTTATATTTCAACTGCATGATCTTAATCTATTTTTATTTGTTATTATTTTGTTTTAGAGTGTAGTCTTGCTCTGTCACCCCAGCTGGCATTCAGTGGCCTGATCACAGCTCACTACAGGGGATCATGGCTGTGCCACAATGTCCCACTAGTTTTAAAAAGTTTGCATAGAGATGGGTTCTATGTTGCCCAGGCTAGTCTTGAACTCCTGGCCTCAAGTAATAACTTTCATGATTTAAAGAGCTGGTATCTCTGCTGCATTTTTCAAGCCAGGCTAAACTGGTCCATTACTTTACAAATAAAATTCCCTTATACATTGGTTATGGATTACTTGTTGACTAAAATGATTCTAAAGTAAATTGTGTCATGTGTTTTGTGGCCCAAGCTGGGTCATTCCATCTCACTTAATGGCTCCACATCCACTGAACATTTGTACTCTCAGGCCTGTGACCTGAACACAGCCTTCTGTCCAGCACTCATGGAGACTTAGAGGCCTGTTTTGGAAGCGATCCACTCCCGGTAATATGTCACTTGTGTGTACACTCCAGGCTTGTTCTTTTGACCACAGTTGTCACCCCAGCTCACAATGCCGATGAGATACCACGTGTCTTTAAGGTCCTTTGCAACTAACGGTCCCCCAGAATCACCCTGAAAACAAAAAAGAAAGAAAAGCTAGCTAAGCTAAGCATCGAAGTTTTTATTTAGGATATTTTGATGAAGCATGTATTTCATTACTAGATAATACATGTACAGATTACCACTAGAGAATAATTAATTGAAACATGGATTTTGAAATTATAAAGAACTTTAAGGTTTAATGTTCACATTTTAAGATTAAATTTTATTTTTGTTAGAGTAAACAAACTTTGAGTTAAAGAAAAAAGAAAAGAATATGAAGGGTCTTAAAAGCAGTATTATGCCCCTCACTACTCCAGAGGCAGCGACTCCACACTCGCTCAGTGACTTCTCAGGGCTTCTGGCTCCTTGTCACTGAATCGTGTGCTCAAACTGCTCTTTCTGGACTCAGGTAGCCTGTACTGACTTCCAGTCACACAGATGGAGAGTTAGCTGCTGTGTAAACTCTTTGAAACTTTCTCTCACCTTCTCTACATGATAAATCTCCCTTTTTGGTTAAATTAAGAGCCAATCTTTATATTAATATCAGTTTGGAAATTTTTTTTTTGAGACAAAGTCTCAAGCTGGGTAGAGTGCCATGACGTCACTGCTCATAGCAACCTCAAACTCTTGGGCTTACATGATTCTCTTGCCTCAGTCTCCCAAGTAGCTGGGAGACTATAGGCACCCGCCACAACACCCAGCTATTTTTTGGTTATAGTTGTTGTTTGGCGTCCTGGGCTGGATTTGAACCTGCCAGCTCTGGCATATGTGCCTGGTGCCTTAGCTGCTTGAGCTACAGGTGCTGAGCCTGCAAATGTTTTTTTATTGAGGAGTCAAGTAACATATTCTGGTTTTGCTTAGGATATTTTGATAAAGCATGTATTTCTTTGGCAGACTCTGATTTCTTAGAATTATACACTTTAACATTTGGCTTAAACTTTAACATTTCTTTTTTAAATTTCAGAATATGTCAGAACTATAGATGTTTTGGTTATGTGAATTCCTTACCTACAGTTTGAGTCAAAGTTATAAGACTGCTCGTCACCCAGACAGTGTGCACTGTGCCCAGTGGATGTGAATTTATCTCGCATTTGGCTAATTTTCCACGTACCTGTGGTAAATGCTGAATGCACCAAAAGATCTAGCAGTAATTTCTACTGAGTTTTGAGTATCTCAGATGACTTGCCAGCTCTTTCATTCCCTCTGACGATGTCCAACTCCACACACATGCACACATACAAAAACACAAACACATATGCACACATATACACACAAACACATATACACACATACATATTGACACATATACACATATGCACACATATACACATATATGCACATATATACACATACACCTGCATATATACACACGCACATACATATATGCATGCATATACACACAAATACATATACACACATATACACACATTCGCACATATGCACACATACACACATATTCACACATATACACATACAAATTCATATATACAACCATGTGCACACACATGTACACACACAAATATACATACACATATATACAGACAAATACACATACACATAAACACAAATACACAGACACACATACATATGTATACATACACAAATATACACACACACACCCATACAGACACACACACAAACACAAATACACACATATCCACATACACACACAATACACACTTATACACATCTCTCTCTCTCTCTTCCCTCCCTTCCTGTCCTTTCTTTTGCTCTGTCTTGGTCTGGTTACATTAAGCTCGTGCAGAGCTGTGGTCCTGGGACTATTTGTCACCATTTTGTGTTGGGTTCAGAATGTTTTGGGTCTTGTGTCTTCCACTTTTTTGATTTACTCCCTCATTTTGCTGAGCTACCCTCTCAGATGGTTTCCTAGGAAGGAAGACAGAGGAAGAACATTTTTTGAGTAATTGCTTTCCTAAAATTCTTAATTCTACCCTCATGTTTGATTGCTAGTCTGCATGGGCAGAAACCTAAGTTGAAATCATTTTCTCTCTGAAACTTGAAAGCATGTCCCACTGTCTTCTGTCTTCTAGAGTCACTCTCAGGAAAGTCTGTGTGGGGCGGGGGCTCCTTCGGAGGCTTAGGAGGTCTCCTGCTTTACCTTCTGCATCTCTTCCTTGGTCCCTGGTTGGTCCCCACCCCCTTTGCTGGCTGCCAGCTCAGCTCTCACTGCCCAACTGGTCATATCCACTTCTTACAGGTACTCACAGACCACGACCTTTTCCTCCCAAGCTTTCTTTTCAATTGCCTTTCTTTTATTGGTATGACTTTTTGATTAATGCATATCTGGTCCACCAGACAGCATGTTCCTTGAAAGCAGGTTCTATAAAGGTTTTTGAACCTTTCTCAGTTCATTCTCATGTCTATTCTCAGTATCTGCATGGGGTATGGCCCACAATAGGGAATTTACATGTTTTTGAGAGAGTAAATGAAGAGATTTAGAATGAAAGAAAAAAACGGCTAGGGACAATTCTGTACTAATTTTCCTATCACATAGTCTCTGGCTTTAAATTATGGGGCCCCCCAGAAAAGTATTGCCAACACCCACCTGCTGCTTTCTGAAGTGATTTCAGATGCCACCTGCGGGCAGCACTGCCTGTGTGGCAGTCACTCAGCTGAGCCAGAGATAGCAGCGGGATCATAAATACAGACCAGGATGCTGAAGCCTTGTCTTGGCAGTAGGCCCTTCATCATATGGGTAGTCTGGCCTGGCTAGATCTCTGGTTGGAAAAATCAGGGGCTCTCGCTCTTTCTTCCTTCCTCCCAAAGCCTGCTTGGGACCAACTTTGTGGGTACAGCAGGAGATTCACTGAGTCCCAGAGCAGCATTTGATTGATGCTTGGACTTCTGGTTGTTTTGGGCAAAATGCCTTACAGTTCTAGTCATGGCATCCTGCCTTGAGTCGTCATGCTGCAGAGCCATTTCCTCAATAACGTGTTTTTCTGTTACTAGAGCTCTGTCCTCCAACTCACTAGAGCTCTGTCCTCCAACTCACTTGTACAACCAGGCAGAACACTTACCCTGCCCCATTCCAGTGATGCCTCTCTGTGACCACTAGCCATTCTGAGGCTATGATGCCCATGTTCATGGGGACACCATCCTGTCTTATGCCTAGACCTCTGTCACCACCTTCTACCTGTCCTCCCAGGGTGGTGCCCTCTTGCTGGAGGCCCTACATCCTGGCTGCCTCTCTCTGCATTCTTGGCTGCTGAGGCCAGAGGTGAGGTGACCCTGCTTGGGTCCAGCCCCCTCCTCTTCGTCTTCTCTGATAGAAGTTGCTGGTGCCCTGTGGTTTGTCAGACTTTGGGCAGGGCTTTCAGTCATATTCCATCACTTCAACATTCAGAATTCCCTCCCAGCATGGAGTTCTCAAGAATCTCATGTTCAAAAGAAAATGCTCCCAGGAAGAAACACACTAATGCCTTTTTTGGGAAATATGCCTGCCAGATGGGTATGCAAGGACAGAGGAGGGTGCATGGTATGGACGGACCCACGTCCTCACCATGGACTGGCTCTGTCATTGTGCACACTCCCTATGCTGAGACCCAACATTACTTGGGGTCCCTTAAAACATGAATTATAATTTTATAGCTTTATAATTTTGGCCTTGGCTCTTTTCTTTTCAATAGTTTTCTTTTCTTACCCTATAATTAGGTATGTGCTACTTAATTTTCAGGCCTCATTTAAATATTAACTTTCTGAGACTTGTTCCAAAATATTCTCTTCCAGGAGAAAATTTCTGCTGTCCTTTATGTCATTTGTAACATCACACTTCACTTCATTGTTCATGATCATTTTCTCTCTTGAATGGGAACCCTTGAGGAGAGAAACTCGGCTTTATTAATCTTTGAATTTCTGGTTATTAAGAGATTTTAATTTTTTTGGTTTGTTTTATGGCATCAGAGAAACTCTTATTTCATTTTTCTTAATAAAACATTAAAAATAAGTTTGTATTGTAAAATTTGCATTTTGAACTTTTTTAGGCTGACATAATATCTATATTTCAGATTAATGTAAAGATGTAAAATATTTCCTGTGCTGGATGAGAAATTTTTGAGTTATTGATATCAAAGCAATCCCCTCGACCTACCCTGCAGGCATCATAAATTCCTTCCAGATATCCAGCACAAAACATGCCGAGTTTTATGTCATTGCCGTAAACCTGCGGCTGCTTGCACACATCATTACTTATCATTTTCAGTTTGGCTTCTCGGAGATCATTTTGGGATTCTCCTTAAAGAAAAAATAATTTAGGAATTTACAATTGGCAGCACTTAGAGCATACTTGGTACTTTTACTTTAAAAACAATCAGTTGACATATTTTAGGAAGGCGTTTCATTTCTTTATAATGTTTTATCTGCAGATTCCAGGTTGCTCCCAGTAACTTTGTATGCCTAGTTAGTTTTCTCCCTGGGCTGGAAAAGGTGACTGTAATACTATATACATCATTTATTGTCTCTTTTATATTGTAATGAAAAGCTTTCACATGCATAATGGTGTCAAAGAGAATGATTTCACTTACGTGTTAGAAGTTGGTGGCTGCAGATGATGAGCTGGAGCCTGAGCTGTAATGCTGATTACGGAAGGCAGACTAGGCAGAAACTAAGATGTCACAAGCACTCAGGGGTTCTTTCTACTGAAGCAGACATGGGCTGGGGAACCATGATGCTGTGTTTGGAAGAATCTGGGAAGGTCCCAAGATTCCTGTGTGGTTCCTCTCCTCCCAAGTGGGGGTGGAACCTGCAACTATGCGTGTCTTGATGATCAGGTTATGTTATGTGGTAAAGTAAAGGAATTTTTTTTTAAGTGTGAGTTCATCAAAAGGAAGATAAAAAGGGACTCTAGCATTTCTTGAATTTAGAAACACTTTCCTGATGGTATTAAGGAAATACAGTGGTGAGAAACAGAATCCTGTCAGTAACCTGGAAGAGCCCTGAGCCACAGGGAGACTCAAGCCTATTGGTACCTCATTGTAGTTTTGTGAGATCTAAAAAGAGGATCCAGCTGAGCTGTGTCTGAACTTTCCACCCATGAAAACTGTGAGGCTATAAGAAATGAAATGAATCCTTTTTAAAGCTAAGTATGTGGTAATTTCTTATGCAGTAGTAGAAAACTAATGGGGGGGGACACAATTATAAGAGGGACTTTACCTAACAAATGCAAATGGTTCTTTTGTATCCTCAATGAACCCCCAACAATAATTAAAAAAAAACTAATACAGGGATACATTAAATAATTATTAACATGTCACCATGCCGAATAATAGATTTCCTGAACTTACTTCTTCTGTTTAGCAGTAAATACACATTTATAAACCATTATCTTCCCAACTCCTCCCACCCTCAACAATGCAGCCAATGGGGACCACAGTGGTGATACAATGTATTCAGAACAAATGATACCAGTGGATGTTAAGTGTTCTCACCACCAAAATGCTAACTATATATGGGACAATGCATTTGTTAATTAGTTGAATTTGAAATTCCACCGTGTATATATACTTTAAAACTTTATGTTGCACATGGCAGATACATAAAATTTTTTATGTCAACTTGAAATATAAGTAAATAAATTTGAAAAAAAGTACATGGTAAATACCAACACCAATTTCTTCAGAAGAACATTTCAAGATTTATTTCTGGAAAAGTATGTGTAAAGACATTTTTAAAGTGCTCAGAAAATATAAGTATGAAATAGAAATACTCAAGTTTTTTATTCTTTGAATATAATTGGCATGGGATGTTTTTGCCAACTACATTATCAGGTGTAGGTGCAGTGGCTCACATCTGTAATCCCAGCACTGTGGGAGGCTGAGGCAGGTGAATTGCATGAGCTCAGGAGCTCCTAACCTGCCTGAGCAAGAGTGAGATCCCTGCCTCTATTAAAAATACAAAAAATTAGTTGGGTGTTGTGGCAGGTGCCTGTAGTCCCAGTTATTTTAGAGCAGCAGTTCTCAACCTGTGGGTCATAACCCACAGGAACTATATTAAAGGGCCGTGGTATTAGGAAGGTTGAGAACCACTGCTTTAGAGGCTGAGGCAAGAGGATTGTCTGAACCTAGGAGTTTGAGGTTGCTGTGTGCTAAACTGATGCCTTGGCACTCTAGCCTTGGGCAACAGAGTGAGACTCTGTTTTGAAACAAACAAACAAAAAATTATGTCCAGTTGCTGAAAGAAGGAAGGTGAAACTGACTATATATTGTACGTGACAGGGTTCATTCACAAATTTCTTCAGCAAACTAGTTGGTAAAAATGTACTCCAAGTTATGAAAACCATAGCCCATAAATCCTGGACATTTTTGAAATGTCACTTATCTACTGTGGAAAGGCTTAATGACATTTCTCACAAAGTATTTATTTTATCAAAGAACCAGTTTTTTATTTGTTAATTTCCTCCATTTTCTTATTTTAAATTTCATTCATGTCTGCTCTTAATTTTATTTCCTATCTTCTGCTTGTTTTAGATATATTTTTCCTTTCTTTTTTAGTTTCTTGAGGTAGGAACTTATTGATTTGAGATAGTCTTTTCTAACGTATGCATTTGCTATAAATTTCCCTTTTTACATTATTTTAGCTACATCTTGCATATACTTATATACATTTTCACTTTTATTCAGTTCAGTGTATTTTTAAAATTGTCTTTTGATATTTAATCTTTATTTAAAGATGTATTATTTAATTTCTAAGAATGTAGAGATTTTTCTATTATCTCTCTGTTATTAATTTGATTCCATTATGTACAGAGAATATGCTTTGTATAATTTCAGCTCTTCTAAATTTGGTAAGATTTTTCTCATGGGCCAGGATATAACCTGTCTTGGTGAGTGATCTCCGGGCAGTGAGAGTCTATACTGCTGTTGGGTACAGGGTCTACAAATTTCAGATCCTGTTGCTACCCACAACTATGACGACAGGTATATTTCTGGGCTAACTGCAAACCATTGGCAGATAATGGTTCTTCCCACCAAGCCAGAGGAGACCTGTGACTCCCTCTCAAACCCAGTCTCAGGAGGGAGGGTGACAGATGTGGGGGCTTGCAGCTCTGTACACTGCGCTGATGAACTCTGAGTCATATTTCCTGTGACTGGGAATGTGAACTTAGAGACAGCAATGCACATCTCTGCTTGTATAAGATGAAACAAAATGATACAGAAGTCTGGAGAAAATCCAAAGACCCCAAAGCCTGTTCCTGGCTACATGAGTGAAAGATTATTACTAGTTCCCTAGTGGAGACTAAAGATTAAAAGCTTTCTGCTTATGGTTTCTAGTATTTAAGTAAATTGTGTAGAATTTTGTGAATAGATTTTGTCATTCTCAGAAAGCCCTTTATCATCTTCTCAAGTCCAGTGCTAAAAAAACCCCGCAGGTGTCTACATGTGCACTGGGCCATGCCAAGGAGTCTAGAGTCCCGCCCAGAACGCTGAACAATTGGTAACTATATTGTTCCTATTTCTCAGGAGATTAAGTTAGTGTATCAAGTGGAGTCATTTCAGGGAGGGCAAAGTGCTTTGGTGACTTCTCTACACAATTGTCACTCAAGGTCACACTTGAACTAGCCTCCTCAGCACTGACACAGACTTTGCTGCAGATGACAGGGTGTTGAAATCAGCTGGTCAGCACCAGAACCAAGACACAGTGGGGGCAATTAGAGGCTTTTTCTGAAATTAATGTGGATTCTGACAAAGAGAAAGAAATGCCCTTTATTCCACCAAGTGAGAGTGGTGTAAACCTTGGCTTGCTGGTGGCCACCTCTGCCACTATGTGGAGCTAGAGTCCCTCCAAAGGAAGGCTACAAAGGGACAATCAGGGCCAAGAAAGAAGAGTCCAAACCTGATGGCTTCCTGCAAACTCCTAGATTTGGCTGTGTCTGAAAGCCAGACTTATCACACCTCTTGACTTCCAAATTACAAGAGCTAAACTTACTGGTTTAGGGCGTTTTTTGTTTTCTGGGTTTTTTTTTTTTTTTTTGTATTTTGTTTTTGTTTCTGCTTTAGTTAATTTAAGTAAATTTCTGTCACTTGCAGAATAAGAGTCCTAACTAATTTAACCAAATTGTATGGAGATGGCTGGCAGGATAATGCTGATAAAGATCAAATTCCATGGCCCTAACTAGGGCTATTTACTCTTCTAAGATACCCACCACCATAGTAAAGTGCTCCGAATCCCGTGATGTAGACTGTTGAATTTGGTGGGAAGGATGCAGAGACTTCTGGCAAACAAATCCGGCGGACATCATCTGAAAAGGTGACCCGGGGAGAGAACTGCACCAGGGCAATGTCGTGTTCCCTCCCTGGGGAGTGATACTGCTCGTGCAAGATGATTCTTCTGATGTTTCTTTTCATTAAGGGAGGGTCAATTGTTGTTCCAAAACTAACAGTCCATTGACGTGGATTCCTGTTACTAGAAAAGGTTAGAAATTAACAGAATATATAAATTGCACAGAATAGAGGATCCTACACTAAGTTTTTGAACTCATCCTAGAAGAAGTGCTACCTCCCTCACTGCTGAATATCCCCACAGTCACCTTCCAAGTACTCACCTTGAGAAGCTGTGCACCAACGCCATTGCCTAGTCCACCCTTTAAGCAATATTAGAACTCTTTCTGGAATGACCATCAGAGCTGTCATATGAAGGTCCATCAATTAAGTTTACAAACTTGTTACCATGCAGTTCAGTTGGTAGGACTGTACAAACAGCTCGGTAAGGTTTCTCAACTCTGGTGTATCAGTGTCCCTCTGCTGTGTTTGTGTGGACGTGTGGTGGGGTCTTGCTGAGTGGCATTCATTATTTGCTGTCACATGTTTTTTTGTGCCATACAACACACAACTAAATCATAATATAACTTTAGTCATTCAAAGTGAACTATTTTCTGACAAAAATTTCTAAACAATCTTCATATGTTAAAGAACATTTCTGCTTCTAGACTATTATACTTACATTTGTTTATACCTGCTAAAATTAATCATTTATTTCTTGCTCATTACTGTAAGAAAATTAAAGTCCTTTTAAAATTACTGTTTTTCTTGCCCAACACACCATTTCTTTTTTAGCCTATGTCATTAACTAATTTGATAGGCATGACCTCCCTTTAATCTGCCAAGTCTGGGAGTATACAGCCTAGGACATAGTGGGGTTAGACACCTTCAGCCGGCTACAAACATCAGTAGTATTTCCACAGACTTTCTTAATCATCATGCATTGGTAGAGTTGGTTAGTTGCTAAGTTACCTGTTATCTTTACATTATTTACATTATTTATCTTTTCCAGAAGCCTTCTTATTTTGCTTCATTATATTTGACATTATTTATATTACCATTCTGGTGTTTAGTTCTTAAAAGCATATTTTAAGGAAGACACTGACAAAATCTGGGAATATTTGGAAGAAAGGAACTATCATGGTTGGGCATCTGAAAATTGGTGGTGTGAAATGAAGTAATGATATTTATTTTCCCTTATTGTTTGGAGATTTTCACTCATTTTATGTTCAGTCTAAAAACGAAAAACTAAAGAATAACTGTTATGTGAATGAAGAAATAAATTCCAGATGAAACAGCAAATATCAGTGGTGGATATTATTAGAATGCAGATTTGGAGTTCAATGTTATAAAGATATTTGCAAAAATAGAACTATCCACCACAATACAAACTATCTTTGGCAAAATAAGTTCCCCATTAATTTGAAGCATTTAGTCCAAAACTAACAGGCACATGCATAGGGAACTTGTAGCTTGCTGGTATATCAGACTACTGAACTTTCATGTTTTTTGAACATTAAGAATAGGTATAAAGGCTGAATCAGTGGCTCCCATCTGTAATCCCACCACTCTGGGAGGCCGAGGAGGGTAGATCCCTTGAGCTCAGGAGTTCAAGACCAGCCTGAGCAAGAACAAGACCCTGTCTCTACTAAAAATAAAAAAATTAACCAAGCGTTGTGGTGGGTGGCTATAGTCCTAGATACTCAGGAGGCTAATACAGGAGGATTGCTTGAGCCCAGGACTTTGAGGTTGTTGTGAGCTAGGCTGATGCCACAGCACTCGAGCCTGGGCAACAGCATAAGACTTTATCACATACATACAAAAAAGAATCTGTATAGATTTTTAATATACATCCGTATAAAACATTAAGAATCTCTTCGCAGATTTATACTCTTAATACTCTTAGGTGGGAGGCAGAGCAAGATGGTGGAGGGAATACATCCCTGGGTCAACTCTCCTCACGGTTTCAGGTGAGAGTGGGGGGACTGGATCTTTCCCCGCGTAGAGTGCTGGCACAGACAAGCAGCGCAAGGCGTGCAGCAAGGAGGTGAATTTCTGGATTGAAAGTGTAACCCGAACTACGGTGTCTGTCAGAAAAAACTCAGGGCAGCAGCTGAAATGGCGCCAGCTGCGACTGGTGGCAGCTGCAAACGGAGGCACCAGGTCTGTGACTAGAGCCCTGAGAGGCAGAAACCAATCCCTCCCCCACAAAGGACTTCTGTGCCCAATACATGGGGAGTTTGGGTGTTTCACCAAGAGAGTGGTGAAGCATGGACTCCCGAGCGGAATTTGGCAGCCAAAAAGGGGAGCCATTTGGACCTGGTTTGGGGTGTCAGGGATCCAGGCAATCGGACAGAAATTTGAAGGGAAGGGATCTGCTCAGGAACTGATCCATCCTGTAATTTTGGAAGTCTGTGTGCAGCTGCACTGATGCGGCAACTCACAGGGGAAATCGATTCTCTTCCTACAAACACCGAAAAGTCTTTTGTGCGCACTGCTGGGGGAACCAGAGGTAACCAGCCCCACCCCTCGCAGAAACGGACTGAAAGTGGTGTAAAAAGCACCCAGCCCTTTTCCCATGGACCATAACTATTTCCTGTTCGAGGGAAAACTAGGAGTTGAGTGGAAAATCTGGTGAACTGTGGACTCGTGTGCTGAGTTTGGAGGACAGATAGGAGTGGGCGGCCAGCCAGGAACCAGATGTAATGTAAAACTCCAAATATGGCATCTCCATAACTCCTCTTGTGAGCACAGAGAGCCCAATCTCACCTGTGGCCAGCCATCCGGCATCTGAAGCTGGTCCAGGACGCCCTACACTTTACAGGAACTGTTGTAGGGAGAATCTGTGCAACCTGCCAGCAAAGACACCCCCCCCTTTTTTTTCTTGGTTTTAGCCTAGGGTGACCAGATTTTAACATCGGTAAGGCAGGACAACATGGCCGGGGGGTGGGACAGGGGCTGGGCAGGGGGCAGGGCAGGGCCTGACAACAATACAAACTTTGATGAGCAGTTCTCGATAATCACTTCTCAGCAATTATTTGTTATTATTACAGTTTAACATTATAAAATTAACAAAAATAATATAAAACTCATAATCCGGCAAAATAGCCACATGGCAGCCGAAAACTATATATTCCCTTCTTGTTCTCCTACCCGTTCATGCATTCTTTCCAAAAATTGGGACTTTTTAAAAACGCCACAGGATGAGGGAAAAATTGTTGAAAAGCAGAACTGTCCCACCAAAAGCAGGATGTCTGGTCACCCTATTTTAGCCTGGGAACCACTTATAGCGCCACCTGCTGTCTAGAAAGTATATTGCAGAATAACTATTCCTATTAAACTAGAACCCCACTGCATTTATAAAGGGGTTTGTTTGTACATATTCAAAAGAACAGTACTTTTCTTAGTGATGCTGTCCTTTTCTTTTCTTTTTTCTTTTTTTTTATTTTCTTTCTTCTTCATTTGTTTTGCTTTTTGTTTTTTCTATTATTTTATGACCACCATTTTTGTGGTTATCTTTTATTACTACTATCTTTTTTGTTTGCTTGTTTGTTGGTTTGTCTTTTGTTTTGTTTTCTTTTTTGTCTGTTTGTACTTGTTTCTGATTGTCTGGGCATCAGTGTTCTTGTGTGTCTGGTAGCATTTTAGTCTGTTTATTTGTCCGCTTGGTTTCAATGTGTTTGGTACTTTGCTAAATCCTCAGATTGGCTATATTTCCTAACTCCAATTTTCACATTCAATAAGAATATGGAGGAACAGGGGACAAGAGCTGACTGGAGCTAGCTTTCAACATAAACTCCATTTCAGAGGGAGAGACAACCACTAGAAGAACCCAAACGAAACTGAAGGTGGGGAGCTGAGCTGAGAGAAGAGATAGATAAATGCAAGTCTTCCCCACTGAGGCAAACCACGACTTCAAGAAAACAAATTCCAGGTTTAGATTGAGCCCAGGCAGAATATTCTCCAGCTCCCATTGAGTGCCTGAGACAGATAGGCTTCAACTATCTCTGCTGGTTGGCGACAAAGAGTGGTCACTGAGTGGAGGAGGCATTGACTTTACTTGGACTCTGGCAGGCATAAAACCCCAACTCACTCACCTATTGGACAGGACTGGGTTACAGAGTCTGGGTTAACAGAGACTGGTAGTGGGGTTACCAGAGACTGAGGTTACCAGAGTCCGGTGGCAAAGGGCGAGTAAGGAGGGGAAAGAGACATCACCCTCCATACTCCAAATTGTCTATTGAATGGGCCTTTCTGACTCCTCAGAGCATCAGAGCGAGCCACACTTGAGCTACCAGTAGACTCCTATTATCTAGTTACTGGAGACCTTGTGATCTTTCCAACCAGAGAGTGGGTATTGATCAGATCAATAGGTTTGGATCTCTTGACTTGGGCAAATTAACTGGTGGTTGAGGGAGAATCTCTGATGCTCTCTGGATTTTCTCAGGCCTAAATTGTCTTCAGGTGGAACATTCTCCAGCTGTCACTGAGTGCCTGAGGCAGTCAGGCCTCAGCTCCCTTTGCTGGCAGGGGTCAAAGAACAGTAACTGAGTAGAGCTGGCATTAACTCTACTTTGATTCTGGCAGACACAAAGCCCTACCACATTCGCTTATTGGGCAACTGGGTCATAGCCCTGCGGGGTCTCCAGTGACTGGGTGTGATGAAGGTACAAGGTGGGGAAGGAGGCATCAACTTTCCTAGAATACTTTATTTGCTGGGTAGGTCCTTCTGACCCCACAGAACACTGAAGCGAGTCATACCTGAGCTGCCAGAAGACCCCTGCTGTACAGTTGCCAGAGACCTCTTGAACTCCCCCCACTTGAGACTAGTGTTGACTGGAACACTTGATTTAGATCTCTTAAACTGGGCCAATCACCTGAGAACTATCTAAAGCGATACCCTGGGGGTGTGGCTGAGGGAAGGTGTGGTTTTCTTTTCCCAACTGTCGCCTGCGAGGGGAGGGGTGACTTAATCGCTGATATTTCTCCACAGCCAAGATCTTAACCCAGAGTAATTGATTTTCCAAGGTAGAACATAGACCAGCCGAAAACAAGATAGAGACACACAGGCCCCCAGGCTCTCAGACCGTAGCATTATATGCATCCTTGGCAAAGCTCCAGGGGAAAAGGTACCAGTCCTAGCCT